TCTAAATGCCATTTCTAGTATTTCACAACTATTTAAAACATCCTGAGCCTTACAAGCACTTCATTAGCATTCTTCCTTCTGCAGCCCGTGCACTATTCCCAGTTTAAAAAGCATCCCTCTCCTTAAAGCTCCTTTGGAAAGGGACAGCCTTGTGTCAGCTGTACACCCGTAACCTTGACATCAAATACTTCACGAGGCCAAAAAGAAATACTTTGAGTTATATTTTGCTACACTTAGACCCTTTTGACCAATGTGTATTTTCAGCTTTACTGTTGTAAAGTTCCATACTGTTGTATGGAAAAAAGCATGTCCTGTTGTGTGAAAGACAGGCACTTGGTAAAACACTTGCAGCAGGCCATGTTACATCCCTCATAACCCAGGAAAGTTTTGTTCTGGACCAAGAGAAAGACTTCTCTTCCATTGCAAGACTTTAGTGATTCTGAAAAGGTAATAAATTTTCCACCCTGTTTTAAACTTTCTAGATTTATGTTGCATTATAAACTGGTGCCTTGCCCCAGTTCTCTTGCACTGGCCTTAACTGCACTAATATAAAGACAAGTTTTAAACAAGGTGACCTTGTCTGTAAAAACCTTTGATTTAGGAACAAATGAAACCATTCCTTCTGTACAATTTGTGGCAATGCCGGAGATTGTAGCTGAGAAAGAGACTTAAACAATAACATGCCAAAGCTTCAAAGCTGGTGGCAGTGGCAGCCTCAAAATGTGTGCTGTAAACTCTTCAGATTGTTTGGCTCTTCAGAAAGTCAGTAAAGCCAGGAAAATGTGCACACCCCTCCCTCACTGCCATCCAGGGAACGGTGACCCGTGTTCAGAGAGCTGCTCTGGTGGGAGGTGTCCCTGCCCACAGCAGGGGGTTGGAACTGGGTGATCTTTAAGGGCCCTTCCTACCCAAAGCGGTCTGTGATTTTATGACTTGCCCCAGCATCTGCTGCTAAAATGTCCCCTTTCCTTAGGGAAGCACACGTGGTTGCTGTTTCCAGGAGCAGTCGTTTCAGTAGGGCATTTAAAGGCTTGCTTCTGTTTCGTTTGGGCCCACAAACCTCGTGTAACTGGGAAATGGGAGACTCCTCCAGGAAGGTAACCTAAAGCTGTGTTGTTTCAGTCGTCACAGGGACTGACCCGAGAGGGATATCTGAGGTCACATCCCAGATTTCCAGGGCGACTTCATCGGCACCAGTTGAGTGGCTGCACGTTTACATCACTGCAGGAGCTGAGCTCAGGATCTGGCCCTTTGCCGATGAAACTCGGGAGGGAGTTGAGGAAAGTCTGTGTTAAATATAGACTAAGCGAACAGCAAAGCTCTGTTTATGTCATCAGAGAGGAGGGAGTAAGCCACGGGTGGAATCTGAGCATTCCCAAGCAGCACATCTGTAAATTAATTACCAGGGTCCACCAAAGGAGGCAAAGGGAATGATGTAAGTCCCGTGACTCACCAGGCTTTTTATTCATGTTTTAGGATGCTCTTTCCAGTGATGAGTGGCCTGGCAAAAGTGCAGCATCCACCTGGGAAGAGAATGCAGGGATGTTCGACCTTTTCCTTTCCCTCAGGGGAAGGTATGTTGAGGACAGGGGCATTCAGAAATGAACTGGGGGGAAAGGAAATGCGGTTACAGTTCTTGGAAATATGTGGAATATTGACTCTGTGTGTAGGCCAAAACCTGCTTTGTTCCTACTGTTGTTGCAGCTATTCAGCTAAAAATAGGAGTTCCCAAAGCCCTCCTTTAAGCAGGGGCAAGGTTTTCTGGCCTCAGGCGTAACTAGGAAGAGGCCTGAATTGGACATCCCAAATTGCAACCTTCCTTGTAACTGAGAGCTCTGAGTCAAGGGTAAGCAGAAATGTAGCCTCCAGCTAGGAAGAAATACTTTTCTCCAGCTAGGAAGAATTACCCTTTGAACACTTAGCTGACCTAAGAGTTAGAAGATCAGTTTTAATGTTACTGTAAGAGTGTTAGCACTTTGATCTACTTCTCGCTGCAAACTCTTCCCAAAATCTCATTTACCATTATTATTCCTGCTTTTCTGGAACTGGGAGCGAGATTCCCTCTCAGGATGAGTACTGGCACAAGGAATGAGAGTTGGCATCTTCCATCCTTGGCACACTGGAGCTGTGTCCAGTCTCTTCCTAGACCACAGGGCTGTCACCTCTCCCAGGCAGCTGCACAAAGGGCCCCTCAGGGCAGGGAAAGGAAATGTGTTACTGTCCTTTGTGGAAAACATTTTTATCTGCACTTCCAAAGTTGCTGTCTTCTTGGGGTGGGTGTATTTCAAACATGGATGGTTTGGAAAGGGCGAGGTTAAACCCAAAACAACCCGAAAAGGGCACCTTTAAGAGCCCCACCTGGATGGCAGGTAACTGCAGAGGAGCCTCCAGCAGCAGCCACGCTCTCTGCACGCATTTAATTAAATTAATTTGATGGTCTCAATACATGCAGAGGCTGCATAACAAGTACTAAAAATACCTCCTTTCCTAATGGTGTGCTAAATTCAATTTCAACCAGTGTATATTTGAATTAATGTATTCAGTGCACTCAGGTTTAAATACCTATGGATGTTCTGGATTTTTTTTTCCCTGAGGGGAAAAAATACTTCCTCCAGCTTTCACAACTCTTCTGTTCCTTTCACTGAGCATCCTGAAGGGGCTGTATAAACCTTGGCTGCAATTCCTAAGCATCTACAAATATTTCCTTAAGTGGATTATTAATAGCACGTTATCTTCCAAGGCCTCTCTGCTTGAAGGTCAGCAGAGTATTTTGCTGACATAAGCATACTTTTGTTTGTTTTTTTTTTTTCAAAAGTGGAGGAGGAAAAAAAAAAAAGGGAAGCTTTGTCAAGCCCCTAAAGAGAGAAGGTCGAGTTTATAGATGTCTGGCAGAGATTGCCCTGGGGTGTTTTCGTTTGCAGCTGGGTGGTGACTAACAGGGCTCTGTGTGGCTAATGGGGCAGTGGGAAGCTGCAGCCTCTGTTCTCCTGTACCCCAGTAGCTGTACTGTCTTGTATCTGCTTAACAATATATACTGTTTTCTTACTTTCCAAACAATCTGAATTCCAAACTCTGCTTTAAATGATTCCGTTGTTCTGCTCACTGACCTTGGTCACCTCCTTGGGAATGATCCCCTCCCCAGCCAGCCTCCTGCCAAGCTGAATTCTTTGGATGTGTTGGAAATATTTTGATTCTCTGAGCAAAATTATACATGGCTAGTTATCTATATGTAGATACCATAAGGCATGGGCTATATAATAACTATACCATGATAGGTGATATTTTAAAAACAAACTGAAGAGTTAATGAAAAATATATTTAACTACTAGAAAAAAAAATATGCATGCATGTGATCAGATGTTTAGTAAGATGCTCTGATGTTTGACTGGGTCCAGGGTGCTACTACAGCTTATGTTAAAAGGGCGTCATAATTTATGCTGTTAAAAGCAAAATATCATCACTAATCTGAATTGCACTTTACCTTTTATAGGTTTAGGTTTCTATATGTATTCTTTTGGTCTTGTAAACGTGGGGAAAATGCAGTAGAAAAAAATGTGAATTGAGAATTCTTTTAAAGGGGATATAATTTCAAGGAATGATAGAATGGTTTGGGTTGGAAGGGGCCTCTAATTCCAACACTCCTGACGTGGGCAGGGATAGTATTATATGAAAATTTCAGGGTTTCTTCAGTTTAAGATTTTGGATTTTTTTTTTTTTAAGAGTTGGAGTTTACATGCTGTAAAGTTCCTCTGATTTCAGGAGATGTTCCACTTCAGGGGTTAAACTCTGTAGGTTTTCCAGCGCAGACGTAATCTTATTGTATTACTTTTCAGTGTGGACAAGCCCTTACATCGCACACTGAAATCCACTTTTACTTCCATGTTTCCCTGCTGTACCATTGCAAACTTCAGCACAAGGCTTAGTTATTTCTGAACAGCTCTTTTTCAACAGAAATATTAGCGTGGGGACACTTTTGTGCAGCCTGATGTGAGCAGAACCAGTTAGATTCAACCCAAAAGAAAGTTTCCTCTAGACAGCACGACTTGATTTTAATCCAGGAGGGATCCCAGAGGGATGCAGGCCAGTCCGTTGGCAATGACCAGCTGGAGTTTAGCACAGAGGTGCAGGAACTGGAGGATTCGGTCCAAGTGGCTGTTTAAGAGTTAATGCTTTGTAAAACCCAGTTTGAGTGAGAGTTGTTCCTGTCATGCTGACTCACGTTAGACAAGTCAGACCTGCAGATTTACTTTAGTTCAGCCTAATCGTGCATGAATGTAAGTTTCTGCTTGACTCAGTGTCTTCCAGGACGGGGTGAAGTTGCATTTTGCAACTGCAGCACATTCGTACTTCAACCCAAATTCTTAAAAATTGTTGTATTCTGCAAAGGCGCATTCCTGGCGTTTGCCACAGCCCCGCCAGAACTGGCGAGTTTGGGATTTGGGGCCGTTTTGCGGCTGCAAACAAATCCGGTACGTTCATACCTTCCAGATGTTTGTGGCCATGTCGGAGACACTTAAACCAATCGATATTTGGGGGGGGATGTGTGTAGGACCACCTCGCTCTGGGGGGCGGCTGGCTGGGCGGGGAAGGGGGCTCTCCTCTGGGATGCGGGGGCGGGCGAGGGAAGAGGAGGAGGACGTGCGGGGAGAGGGGAGGAGAGGGAAGGGCAGAAAGAAGTTGCGGACAGGGCGGGCAGGGGCAGGAGCCGGGATTGCGGAGGGGGCGGGCGGGGAGGAGCGGGGCTGCAGGCGCTCCGGGGCCCGGGTGCCCGTGTCCTCCGGCAGGGCCGGGGTGTCCCTGTCCTCCGGCGGGCCGGCAGCCCCGGGGCGGGGGCGAGGGCGAGGGAGGGAGGAGGAAGAGGAGGGCGGAGGAGCGGCTCGTCCCGGCAGCGCCGGCGGGGGCGGGCGGGGCGGCACGTCCCGACCCGTCCCATCCCATCCCGGTGCCGTCCCGTCCCAGGGCGCCGCGGCTCGCCCCGCCATGGGCACCGGCCCCGGGACGGGCTGGCAGCGGCGCCCCGGCGCGGGGCCGGGGGCGGGCCGAGGGTGCTGTGACCCCCGGCGGGGCCCTGCCCACCCGCCCGGCTCCGGCACCGGCTCCAGCGGCTGAAATTGCCCAAGCTGGGGTGACTGCGATGTCCCCCGGGCGGCGGGACCCCTGACGGGCGCTGCCCGCCCCCGAGGCCGCCTGGCTTTGTTGGGATTTTGTTGGTTTGTTTCCTTCTCGTTGCCGTTTTCCTCCCGTCCCGCCGCGGTGGATGGCCCGCGGTGGGCGCCGCTGGCCGCGCCGCCCCTGCCCGGGCAGGATGGTGGCGGCGGTGCTGGCCGGGCTGTCCCTGCTCAGCCTCCTCACCTGCGGCTACCTGGCCTGGGGCAGCCGCCGCACCGGCCCCGGCGGGACCCCGCTGGCAGAGGAGCCCGGGGCCGGCGCCCCTCGCTCGCAGCCGCACATCATCTTCATCCTGGCGGACGACCAGGGGTTCAGGGACGTGGGGTACCACGGGTCCGAGATCAGGACGCCCACGCTGGACAAGCTGGCTGCCGAAGGGGTCAAACTGGAGAACTACTATGTCCAGCCCATGTGCACGCCATCCAGAAGCCAATTGATCACTGGAAAGTAAGTTTGCTACTACTTCGTCATTCACTCTCTCAAGCCTAAACGCTGTCCCTGTCGGAAGCAGAATGGGTGACCCTGGGCGGTTCACCTCTGAGATATCCTGTAGGCAGAGAGGAGCCCCTCTGGTTCGCTTAAAAACCTCCAATGAAACGGACTTCTAACATGTTTGAAATAGGCAAATAAAGCTGTCTCAGCGAGGCAGGAGGGTTCAGCACTGCGAGCTGCCCCGCAGAGCGCTGGAGCACGTTCATGGTTACAGCATCACTAACATACGTGCTACTTGTCAAGTAACGTTGCTATGGCTGGGGAGCGATCAGCTTCGCTTGGCTGGGTGATTTCCGAGGCACTTAGAGGAGGAGTCGTGTCAGGGAACTGCCAGCCTTACCTTTTTCCCTCTGTGTTTGCTGCCGTTGCATCACGGGTCTCGCTGACACTGACTCAATGGGAGTTCTCTCCAAGGGTTGTCCTGAATTTATGAGGTGGTTCCCCATTGTGTCACACGTGGAGGAGCGCAGGGAACCTGGACTCCCTCTCAGCATCCTCACAGCTGCAGCATCCCTCTTGTCACTCTGCAAACCATTAGAAACTTTTCTCTTAAGCCACTGAAATAGATGCCTCACCCAAATGGTGAAAGCAGTGGATTGGTATCCATCCAATGGTGTTTATTGTGGTCTGTTAACTAAATAATCAATTACCCAACCTCAAAGCCTTCTTACATCAGAAGGTTAATGAGGATTAAGGGGGAGAGTGTATGCATTGGAACTGTAGGAACAATTTCCAAATACCTCCAAGTGTGGACCCATTTCCTCTGCAACAAAACTGCCTTGTTTCTGTTTAGCTTAACTCCCTTTGACAGGAGCAGGGAACTCTTAAAAGAGCAAAACATAATGAGAGGAAAAGAGTTTATTTTCTCCTTTCCTAGAGCATAAACAGGAACAAGGCAATGTTAATATTGCTGCTAAAGGAACACATGTCAAATAAAACAAGCAACTGGCCTGGTGTCTTGCATCTCCATATGGTAGAGCTGGAGATAATTCCCAGTCTGGGTCTCGTTCCCAGACTTACTGGACCAGGGAGATTTGCATGAAGAGCTGACAAGGTTATCTAGAGCAAGAATGCAAGAATTCCACACAGGTTTTTGTTTGGGTTGGTTTTTTTCCTTTGTGCAAACCGTGTCTCAGAAGTTATTTCGAGACACCTCCTCAGTCATTCACGAGAACACAGTTGCCCTGCGGCAACTAAAGCAGCAGCTTACAAGGGAAACTTGTATCAGGACAGCGTTTAGCTGTTGTCTTTAAAGGCGTGCAGCGGTTGGGAGCCAGGAGCTCCGCCAGCAGCACGTAGCCAGCCAGCTTTCTGAGGACCGTGGTTTGGGAACCAGTGCTTTACAAAGGGAATGTCATGCTGCACTGGAATGACTCACACAGCAGCTAGAGCGATGGGATGACCGGGTTCCAGGGGAACCAGGGTGCCGCTCTGGCTCTTGGAGGCTGCAGAGGTTGTCTAAACATGAAAAAGAAAGGAAGTCAAGAGTAGCAGTAAGTCGGTTTAACTCTTTTGATCCTTCTCTAAATACAACAAAAGCTAGGCGAGTTCTGAGGAGCCCCGTGCTTTCCATCGGCTCGCCAGGCGGAAATGGCTCTGCAAATCTGCCTACTTCGGGTTTGGAACCTCTTATAGGAAGAAAGAAATTTACTTATACTTGCTTTTTATTTTCTTAGTCTGCTATTCTAAAACCCTTAGAGCATTTGTGTGTGTGTGTGTGTGTGTGTGTTGTTCTACTTTAGGGAAAAAGGAGCAGCAGAGAGAAAGAACTGCCTCGCATGACTGAGAAATCAAGGAGGGCTTGGCGAGGGGTTAATAGGCTGGGGAGAGTATTCACAAGGCAGACTCAGAGAATACTGTTTCCATTCTGGCCGAAGATAAATGCTTGTGATAACTGCTTTTAAGGCTTTCTTACTAGAGGCACCTTATTTAAAATGCCAGGACTTGGAAACTTCCAATCCGGGACAAGTGCTGTTATGTCTTGAGTTCCCAAATGTGTTAGTTCAAGGCTAGAAGCCTCCCAATACACATCCCATGCTTAATGTGGAATCACAGGTTGGCAGGGACCTTTAAAGGTCATCTCCTCCCTGCCAGGGGCAGGGACACCTTAAACTAGAACGTATTGCAGACATGTCCTTACTGATGGGTCAAAACCAGAGGGACCAGTGTAAACCAGAGTCACGAAGGAGCCCTGACTGACGTTGCCAAGTGGAAGTTAAACTTCAGGCAAAGAGACTTTGAGCAGCCCAAAATCTTCATAGGTCTCCAGCCAGTTCCTCTGAGGCTTGCGTAGGTAAAGAGACCCTTCCTTTGGTGGCTGTCCCGTGTGTGAATGAGCACAGGGAAGGTGGCTGGGAATGACATGTTTAAAAGGAAGAGGCAGAATTAGCTGCTCCTTTTCCTGTCCGTGCTGTACCACAGCTGGTGAACTTGTCATCCTGACCACTTCTTCTTCCCTCTGTTTGCTTTCTCATCCCTCGTGCTGGTTAGAGCAGGGCAGTGGCCTGTGTATACTCAGGAGATTACTGGCCTCTGATAACCTGTAGAAAGGCTGTAGGCATGTTTGGGCTTTGTTTCTTTTTTTATTTCTACCAGAGGGTATAATTGAACATAAATTGTCCTCCAGAGGAATTGTTTTGTGTGATACAGTATTTTTGTGGTTGTTTTCCCCTTGAAAGTGACAGGTGTGCCTCAAAAACTAAATTTAAGCAGAACCCAGCTTAACTCTAAGACCACCTTTTAGCTCGCCCGTGAAAGAAATGAAAAAATAAACACATTTCTGTTGTTTATGTTACTGTCATTTACACAGAAGAACATAAAAATAGTGCCTGAGACTTCAAATCTTCGAGTTCTCCCTGCTAAGGAAAAGGGAGGGGATAGATACCCAAGGATACCCACACAGAGAGCCATCTTCACTCTTTTTAAGTGAAGAATTATTGAAGCACAGTCAGGCAGTTTCCCAAAGTATTTTAAGAAATTTTGTAGGTTTATGGCCAACAGGACAAGTATTCCTTTGAGACAAAGACTATGAGCTTAGATGAACATCTGTTGGGGTAGCTGTCCCGATTCCATAGAGGGCATTATGCAATGCAGTGGCATTTGCTGGAGCAATACTTAATTTAGCGAAGGAATTTGAGAACTAATCCTGACTGATAAGAAGGAATCTAGATCTAATATGCCATAAGTGTTTTTGGCATTCTGTAGGCAGCAGACACCTCCTTCCTCCTCTAGGCTCCCAGTTTTCTGCTGACCATCAGACTTGTGACCCCAGGACCATTACATGCACTGGAAGGAATCCCTGTGGGCCACAGGAAGGTTCCTCGGGAATGGGGATCTCTCTTTGTAGGGACCAGTGCCCAGCTGGAGTTCCAGGTCACTGAGGAGTCTGAACTCCCTTTTGTGAGCCATGGAAGCCCTACACAAATCTCAAGAACGAGCTTTGCACAGTGGATGGAATGTGGAGATGGAAGGTGTCGAAGAAATGTTGAAAGTCTGGGGAAATAAATCCTTTTTTCCCCTGGAATAAAATGGAATATGGAGAATTTGCTCATTCAAAGCAGACAGAAATAGATTGTTTAATCAGTAAGCATAATCTAGGTGTTCATTCAGCATAAATAATTCTGTGTGTTACTCTGGGGGATCAGAGTTCCTGGTAAGGCTCCTCTCCCCCTGCCTCCTGGGTGCACCGTGGTCCAACCTGCCATTGCTCTGGGAAGGATCCAGTGCAGTGGTGCGTGACTGGGAAGTTACCCGCTGTGCTCCGAGCTGGAATGGAGGGTCTGGGAGCCTTGACGGGATCCTGGGGAATGTATGTAACACTCCATTATACCTATTCCCTGTTCTGCAGTTAGCAAAATATGAGGGCTGCACAATATCAGCCTGAAGTACCTGGAGGTGATCTGATACTTTATCTGCTCTGGAGTAAAGAGGCTTGGCAGTCGTTGGTCCCGGGTTTAACTCTGATCAGTGTTTCCATTAAGAACCGGGACGATGAAATAAAACGTTCGGATTAAACGCACCAGGAAGGTGGGAGGGCCTGCCAGCATGAAGGGACCGTGGTCATAGCGAACATCAGCTTGGCAAATTAGAGAAATAGTCTGCAAAAAAAAGCAGAATTAAAGCCAGCAGTGATAAACAGGAGATACTCTGCTGAACCAGAAAGGATAACTCTGCAAGCTGAGGATGGTGAGCACCTCCTTACACAGCATTTCTTTGGAAAAGTAGCTGGAATTACAGCGAATCATGCACTGAATATGAGGTCAATGTGTCATGCAGTTACGAAAAAGGCAAAGATCATATGAGCTTGTGAGAACAGGGGAGCCTGGTAAGTTTGTGAGGCAGCCCTTCTGCTCCATGGCTGGAGCACTTATGCCCAAACTTGGGCATCATTCTCCAAGAGCAATCTGTGCATCACTGGAGAGTGTCCAGAGAAGGGTGATCTGATATCTCAGGGAGATAACTGTGGGGTAAAGATCTGAAGAAATGGAGTTGTTTAGTCTAAAGAAGAGAATAATGAGAAGGCACGGGGTAAATCTCCAGTATTTGAAAAGCTGTGTGTGCAGTGCCGTGATGGGTGGTACCAGAAATCAGGGGCTTTCTGGAGCAGGGAAAACTTCATTTTAGGCAACAGGGAAAACTTGCAAGTCTGAAGGTTGTGAAACACCGGAATAGCCGGATTTGGGAAATTGCTGAGTTTCTTCATCAGCAGTCATTAAGAACAGGCAAGACAAATATGTCGGGAATGACATAATGTAGTTGGATCTGTCTTGGGGAAAAGGGTTGAGCGGGATGGTGTCTCTTCCAGCTCGGATCCATCTGTGGCTCGTTTGAAGTACAGATTAACTACAGAAGGCGTTTGAGGGGCAGTGTGCATGGAGGAGTATTAAATGCTAGCAATGATTTCAACGTTCACTCTGAGAAAACACCACGTTAAAGTTGCACTTCAGTTTTCTCCT